GTTCAACATTGATTTACTCTGTGCTATTCCTTTAGATTTCTAATGCATAAATTTATAGATTTCCATCAATAAATTCACATTTTAATCTATTTATACTTTGATCCATTTACAAGCTTAGACAATTTGAGCTTTCTTATCCCAAGGTACATCATGGGTTACAAATCTGCTTCTGGAATACAGAAAACTCAAGTTCACACTTCCAGCCCTTACTGGCAAAGAATAGTTGTGTCTTTAAATAAGACGTGATGTAATCTAGAAGTATACTCAATAATAGGCAAGTGGCAGATCACCAACAATGGCAGGATCAGGTTAGGCTGCTTTCTGAAAACGCAGCCCAAGCCCATCAGTATTTTTAATTAACAGGGTGGTTTGTGTCTCTTTAAACAACAATGCTTCCTTTATCAGTGGCAGATGGAAATAGTGGCTAAGGAGCATTTGTTTCATAACAGGATTGTTTAACCAAAAGCCCTAATCTGCTGTACCAAGTTTTGTATTATGGTACAAGTTAGATAATGCATACAATATAGATTATTTATCTAGAATGGCTATTTGGAATAGAGAACACAAAGAGAGCCTGTAAGAAAATGTCTTTCAAATGGTGTGTGCTCTTGTTCAGAGCTTTCCCTTGAACACACATCTTGGGAACAGATAAACTAATACACTGTTTTATACTGGCAGAAATCTGGGTGCTATAGGTCGGTGGTCCCCAACCTTGGGCCTCCAGATGTTCTTGGACTACAACTCCCAGAAACCTTCACCACCACCTCTGCTGGCCAGGATTTCTGGGAGTTGAAGTCCAAGAACATCTGGAGGCCCAAGGTTGGGGACCACTGCTGTAGGTGATGCTTTGTAAGGCTAATGGCATCATATCTCTTACCTCTTTTTCAGAAATAAAATGTTTCCAATCCTTCAGTCCCTTTTGTCATCAGGACACTATTGGACACTACAGGACAGTGGTGGTGGGAAATCTTTAATCAGTGAAAATTACCAATTCCAGGATGACTTTACTCACAGTGGTAATTGAAGCCTCCCTACCCATGTCATGCCCCGCTTCAACAATTTCCTAAAAAAGGAAAGTTATTCCACAGGAGCCTCGGATATTCAGGGACGAAATCAGAAATGTTTTATTTCCAAAATATTGTCATCAGTTTTTCAGAAATAACTGCCACCAGCTTTACGCTAAGTGACTTACTGTAGAACAACAGGATTCCAGCCAGTGAGTGACCTCACTCGTCACTCTAGCCCAGGGTCATCAGCTCTTCTGTCTTTTCTGTTCCTACACAGATATCCCAGATATTTCTGTTCTCCCATCCAAGTATTAACCATGTCTGGCCTTATTTAGCAGCTGATACTAGTTACTATTATGATGTTCTGGGAGTTTGAGTTTTAGTCCTGTTCAAGGAGAGGGACAGCGGAATATATTTAGAGAGGTGAACAAACTTTGCATTTTAAAATATTGCAATCAAAATTTGAGATTCTGCCAAATGTTTCTAAATGTTCATTTTTGTTAAAGTAGTAAAGTTTTTGTAGTGCTGTTTTATTTTTGAAGGAGTAGTTAATACTTAGTAGGCCAGACCTCTCCACTAGGAAATGAGGGATTCATAAGGCAACCAGATCGGGAATTCTGATACTGCTTTGAAACATTGGTCACCAAGTAGCACAGGTGGGTCCAATGCGAGCAAAAGAGCACAGCCTCTGATGCTTTTAAAGGATCTCCATAGCCCACTTCTGCAGTTGCCAGATGAACCAGGACCACTATCAGTTGATCAGCATTCCAGCACTGGCCATGTTTAATCTGGTTGGTCAGTTTGCAGCTGACACTCTCTCCTCCTATTACTGACATTTTAATCCTGATATACTAAGATAACATGAACTCTTTATATATATATATTAAAAAGTCACATTTCCCACATAGCAAAATTGAGGATGTCTGCAGGTATTGGTATTTGCAAAAGAGTGTATCCTAATGTATCCTAAGGCTCTTAATGTCTCTGCAAGTTCATATCAAAGCAGGAACCCAGAGCCCACATAACTGAAATAAAATGTTTTATTGAGCATATATATTGTGAATTGCATCCTTTTTCAACAGATGCATTTAACTTGTAGTCAGTGAAATTATTAGCCAAAATCCTGTTGCTTGCACTAGAATAGGACCACAGAAGCAAATGATTTTGTCTATTAATGTATGCATGTCTTTTGGTTTTTCATCATATGGTGGAAACTGTAAATTTCCAAAATGAAAGTTAAAAAACCCAAATAGGTCATAAAATATTTTAAGGCATGGGGGGGGGGGACTGAGAAAACTAGTTGATTGTATATTCCTTATCCCTTCCTCCTTCTGAGTCCAGAGGTCGTATCATTAACCTTGACCTGTAGAAGCTGAAATGAGTTACATGATTTCCCCATAACTAGACTGTATGTATATAAAAATCACAGAATTTTGCCATGATGGATGGTTTTTCTTTTAAGGGGCAATCTTTCTCCTGCATAAAATACTTGTGAACAAAGGAAGGAAAGAGGTGATCAGATGACACACTGAAGGCATGCAAAACAAATATTGGCAGATTTTGAGAAATGAGAATTTTTAGTTTTGGCCTATCCCAGGTGCACATTCCTAATAATAGTCTTCTACACCAGTGGTCCCCAACGTTGGGTAACCCAGGTGCTCTTGAACTGCAATTCCTAGAAGCCTTCACCACTACCTGTGCTGGCTGGTGTTTCTGGGAGTCGCTGTCCAAGAACACCTGAACTACCCAAGGTTGGGAACCATTGCTCTACACAGATGAATTTATATCATCCAAAGATTTGTGTGCTCCAAATAAAATAATGAAAGCCAACAAGGTCCCACCAAATATGTATCAGGAATCTGAGCTACTAGTTCACAAAAACAAAACAATCAAATAAGCCAAGCCACAAGGCGCTCAAAAAGGCAGGAGAAACAGCCTCAGAAGAGCAAAATCATTCGAACAAAATGTGAACAATACTGCATTTAAATATATGGGGAGGTTGATAAAATTCTAAGAAATTGCAAGGAGAAAGAGGGAATTCAGAGATGGTTGACTTGGGAGAATGAAAAAGGAAAAGTACTCCTCAAAATAACTGGAAGTTATTCATTAATTGCCCATTTTCCCCCAATTTTTACTTGAATTTTTTTTAGAACTCTTAAGTCTCCCTCTTCTTGAGTTTTGTTAATAACTAGTGGGCTGCTGAAGATAAGGTAGAAGCAAAACTGGGCAGTTGACTATCATTAAAATAAGGGCTATTTTAGACATATGTATGTTTAGATATACCTCATCATTATTCATTCATTTTAGGTTTTAATCCCAGGAAAACATTTCTTTAGAATTGGGTAAGGTGTGGAATCTTTATCTCCCTTTTATTCCTTAAAAAAAAAAAAATTAACATGCAATACAATTGTGATATTTGGAACGGGTTAGAGCAGTGGGAAATCTTATACAATGTATCTGAGATGTCTAAGAGAATAAATCCTAAAGCTGGAATTAATTTCTTCTTACTAAAATGACAGTAGTCCTCATTTTTATCCTTTAGGCATTCCAGCATCGACAAGTTCTTCCATGTTTGCACCAGAACCTTCCCTTTCCATGTCTGTTTTTCACCACCAGTATTGTGTAACTAGGGACCTGAGCCACAGATTGTGGTATCCAGTAGAAGAAGGTACAAGAGCATCTGCAGGCACCCTCAGCGGGGTGGAGGAGGAGATGGGAAGGGCAGAAAAAAAGGAAAAAATAAATTCGCCCAAATGGCAATTAAACAATCATTAAGGGCATCCACGTATGTTTAACTCCTGTTTTGGGAAGTAGCAAAATGGTGTAAAATAGCCTTGGGATAAACACTGTCGAAGGACACTTAACTATGCAAGCTATTTAATAGAACCAGTTTTGCAAAGGTTAGCCAATAGACATATATTCTCAGCCTGGGAGCTAAAAAGGTCATCAGATCAGGAAATGAAATGTTGTTTAACTGTAAAGAGTCCCCTTCCAGAGAAGAGAAGGAAGCAGAGGTCTCTAGATCAAGAGAGTGAAATAAAGGACAAACAACAGCCTGGGGTCAGAAGGCATTGAAGGGAGGCAGGTCGGGCAGCTATGCTGAGAGGGAGAAGAGAGACTGGTGAAGCTGCTGAGAATTGGGAGACCAAGAGGATAGGATAAGACCCAGATGGTTGGTTTACGGATTAGCAAATGTTTCACAAGGCAAAGATGATACAGGAGTAAACCACAATGACTGTGTGAACCAAAGTAAGAAGAGTAGCCAAGGGGAGCAGCAGGGGAAAAGCTCAAGGGACTAGGTTTGATCTCCACTCTCAGAAGACCAGATGTTTTTTCTTTTAAGCTTGAGGCCCTTGATAAAACAATTCTTCCAGTTGATCTTCTTCCCAACTATCTTTCCCCAGCATCATTCTCACAACACTCCCCTTCTCTCGCCTTCCTCAGATCCCTAGCCCAACATGACACCCATTGTTTTGTATTTCCATAGAGTTCAAGATCTTAGCAGCAGCACTTTCTCTTCCGTAGTCCCTGTGGTCAGGAAACACCGTAATGTCTCTCCCTTGACATTTCACTTTCAACCCAAGTACCAGCCATTGAATCCTTCAGGAGCAACATATGCTTCCTAAGCCAAATTCAGCTGCCGCTACTCTGTAGGGAAATCCTGTAGTTGTTGGCATTTGGGGCATCTGATCTTTATCGCATGCAAAATGAATTCATCTTCCTTTGCACTTGAAGGGTATTCTTTCCTACTTGGTCTCTCATCACTTACAGTGCATCAACTTTTCAAAAGAAACTCAGGATTCTGCAACAAGTGGATTCATTTCATTTTTTAAAAATCCTAATTTTATTTTCCATCAGCCTCTAGGGACTGCATTATACCATGATAAAATCAGCAAAGGGATATCAAATTCAATGTACATTTCAATTTACAAAGACCCCCTTTTCAACACAACCCACGGTGCCTTTGATTTTGGGGATCCCCAGTCCACTCACCCATTTGACGGTCCACGGGGCAGCTGCACCACCAGTACCAAGGTTGCTCACTACCTAAGACCCACAACCATGACCGAAGTGAAACTGACGTTCTTCTACATTTTCTTATTTATGTCCACTGCCCACTCCAGAAACCTACAGCTCAGCTAGCCTTTCAGCCTTGATGTCTTGGTTCTATGGGGTGCTAAGCAACCTTGGCTCACACACCTCGCTGAGCATTTAGGACAAACTAGCAAATCACAATAGCCCTGGCAGCCATTCAGACTTGTGCTTCCGCATTAAGTGTTAGTAATTCCAAAAGATAAAACAAAACGGGGGGGGGGGAGAGAATGAGAGCGAGAATGAGAGCGAGAATGAGAGAAGGGGGGAAAGTCTGCATTTAAAAGGTCAGGTTGACCCTAAATTGTTGTGGCTTCCTAATTATTTTTTTTCTTGAAAATTGGGTCTTTTGTCTAAACTTCGTTCTATGTTTCAATTGCGTCTGTTTTAACTTTTGCTGTAATTTAGGCATTACTTTTAAAAGATTTTGTATGATTCTTTTTTTGTAGGGGGAGAAACATGGAATGGGTTTGTTGTGTATTTTTGGGCCGTACTTGAAGAGTCGGTTTTAGAGAGGACGTGACATACAAGTGTATGAAATAAATAAATAAACGTGGAACTCTAAAAATACACAGCATGCCAGCCTCTTAGGAGGCAGACAATTAAAATAATCTGCATGTGTTTTGTGTCAGGCTTGGCTTGTACATGTGACTCTCCCAGTAGAGAGTTTTAGCCTTTCTACTGCATCTGATTAAAAGTGTCCTAGACTCCATGTAAAAGATTTTTTTTAAAAAAATTGTAAGAGATGGAATGGCACTAGCTCACTGCCAAAATAAAAAATAAAAATAAAAAACAAGGGGGCAAAAGTCCATGTGAACAGATCTACCCCCGGCCAGAATGCCAGCAACTTTTCCTCTTCCCTGAATTGTCCAGGGAGCATGTTGCAAGCACAGTGAGGGAAAAGATCCCTGAAAGCTCTCTGCTTAGTACCCTGTTGATGCTTAATCAGCCAAGACCCCTGGAAGAAAGATGCAAACCTTCATCAATGGGGTGTGTCATAGTGACCTTATTGCAAGTGGGAAAGAGCAGAATGTGTGTTTCTCCCTGCCTTAGTTGCCAGTGGTACACAATAAAGCTTTAGCTTGCATCGTTCAAACTGTTGTTTGTGCAGCAGGCACTGAAGCTACAGCCAAGCTACATGTTCCATTTTCAAAACATTTATTTTTAAAAAAACTGTTATGGGATATCACTACAGGATATTTTCCCACTCTGGATGTCGGGGTGCATGCCAATGTCCTGCTAAACACTGAATAAGACCTGCAAGTGACATGCTATGGACCATCTCTTGGGATTTGTTCCATGGGTTCCGCATCACAGCAACTATGACTAGGAATCAATCATTCCTCTAAGATGCAACAGCTTCTTCCTGCCATGTTTGGTTTTTTATTTCATTGTTGTTGGTTTGGGGTGTTTTTTGGGGGTTATTGGTTTTTTAGGTTATTGATGTTGTTGGTTTGGTTACTAAAGCAAGGCACACAGCACCACATGTTTTGGGGAAATTCCATGCCCAGGAACCTCCAGCAGGCACAGTTCAAAAACAAGGTGCATACTGTCTTTTGTGTGTAGTGATCCCCGGTCCTTGTGGCTGGGTAGAGGTCATTGACCTTTTGCATGCTGTATTTTTCAGAGCTGGAGGTCAAGTTTTGTTGAGTTTCAAACTTTCCTCTTTTTTGTTGAAGTTCTGCTGGTGCTTGTGGATTTCAATGGCTTCCCTGTGCAGTCTGATGTAATGATTGCGGGTGTTGCCCAATATTTCAACATTTTGAAATAGAATTTCATTTCCAGCTTGCTTTAGGGCATGTTCAGCTACTGCAGATTTTTCTGGTTGTTTTAGTCTACAATGTCTCTCATGTTCTTTGATTCTGGTGTGGATGCTTCATTTTGTGGTCCCTAACCCTAACCCTAAGACCAGCTAATGATACTCATCAATCACAGTGACAGATAATCTCTCCTCCTTATCACAACAATACACCCACAACAAGACACACTAATCACCCATCCCCTGAATAGGACAAAAGTCTATCTCACAGCCATAAATACTCCACTCCAAAACAAACTACACCAGAGCACAGAGTGCTGTCCTCTGAAGATGCCGGCCACAGAGACTGGCGAAACATTAGGAAGAACAACCTTCAGAACACGGCGAAAAACCCCGAAAAACCCACAACAACCAAGGTGAAGACTTCTTGTATATCTTGTTTCATCACAAAAATCCAGTTTGGATAAACTGGGGAAATACAGGACTGCAGCCAGAAACAGGATCCATGTGTGTGTGTTGTCAACTGTCTTCAAAGGGAGCTTCACATATAATGCACTGGCAGTAATCCAGTGAAGGTCTTCGATTCAACACTGGTTGCTAGCCTATGGTGTCCCTCAGGATTCTGCTCCCCCCATTCTATGTAACATCTATGTGAAATCACTGGGAGAGGCTCTCCAGAGTTCTAGAACTGAGTGCCACCTGTATGTGGATGAAACCCAACTCTCTCTCTCTCTCCTTTCTGCCTAAATCCAATGAAACTGTTTCTGCTCAAAACCAGTGTGTTATAGGCACTAGACTGAGTGAGGGCAAACAGTTAGAAACTTAATTCAGACAAGACAAAAATACTCCTGGTCAACTGAAACGCAGATCAGGGAATAGAGATTCAGCCTGGACTGGATGGGACTATGGTTGCTCAGTGGTGGCCAAGAGAGCATTTGCCAGGAGTGCATTTGTATTTAAATTGTTCTAAGCCGCCCAGGGACCTTTGGTAGTGTGGGCAGCATATAAGATAAATAAATAAATAAATAAATAATGTGCCCATTCCTAGAGATGTCTGGTTTGGCTATGTTGATGTGTGCCTTAGTTACATCTCACTTGGATTACTGTAATGCGTTCTGAAGGGGGCTTCTTTTGAGAAGTGTTTGTAAACTGGTTGAAAAGGCTTCAGATAGGCTGGAGACAGAACCAGTTTCAGGGAGCATATGTTGTCTGTTGCAGCAGCTTCACTGACTGCCAGTCCATTTCTGGGCCCAGTTCAAAGTGCTGGTCATGGCCTATAAAGCCCTATACAGCTTGGTTCGAGGTGGTCTGGGCCCTAAGAGGCCTCTTAGCTCCTAAGGTCTTCAATAAAGGAACATCTCTCTCTATCCCACTGCCCTCCTGTGGGAAGATAAGAGAGAGGATCTTCTCTGGGACTGCTGCCAGGCAGTGGAATGCCCTCCAGCAGAAAGCTAGATTGGTCCTTCCAGTGACAAGCAAAGAACCTCCTTTTCAAGCAGACTTTTAAGAACTCACAGGGCAGTGAAGAGGTTTGATTTTAGGTGTTGCAAATAATTATTATGTAATGTGTGTTTTAATATATTTTAAAGTGTTTTAACTGTTTTCTCTAATTGTTTTAATATTATTACATCTTTAATTGCTTTCAATTCAATAATTCATCGTGTTTTTAGTCAGGTGTTTGCTTATTTTTTAATAATGTGCGACCTCTTCACAGGGAGAAAGGCACCATGGAAGGGTGAATGGCCACAAGTGTTTTCTCCTCAGCCCTCATCAAAAAGGCTGAGGTATTCTGTGGTGCTATCAAAGAGAAGAGAGAACAAGGTGTTTTTTTTTCTTTTGAAGTAATTTGGCCAAACAATGCAATGTTTTAATGTGACTTAGAAACATTTTGCACAAATTATAGATACCTTGATAAGGAAATGTAATGCTCTTTCTCTCATTCTACCCTGGAGGGCAGAAATCTTTAAACTTTCTTGTTGAAGTAGCTGCTTAAGGCCACCAAAATCTATGAGAATGAATAATTTCGCATACAGTATATTCTTGTCATCTGTGTTCTGTGATCCTCCATTTTACACTGCTCTTACAGTACATGTGTGTTACTATAGAACTGCTGGATAGCTCAGTGGTTCTGTGGAGCCAGAGGTTGGGAGATCGACTCCTCATTGTGCCTCCCTGACGGGTTTGGGAGTTTGACTCCTCACTGTGCCTCCCTGACGGAGCTGGACTCAGTTATCAATAGGTTCTAAGATGGTGATGGTGATTAATATTATATACATTGCTCTGTCTGTGTGTCTGTGCATATATATATGTGGGGGTGGGAGAGAGGGAGAGAGAGCTAGTACAAGTGGGTTAGGGCATCTGGATGGAGTTAGGAATTCAAATCCTCATTATGTTCAGTGGGAGAAGTGCCAACCAAGATCACCCACAGCAACAATAACAATTATTTATTTTAAAGATCCTCTGAATTTGAAATTTCTACAGTGATTTAACATGAGCACCTAAAAACGTGAAGTCACGGAGTTCCTATATGGTACTAAAACTATATATTACCTAAGTTATTGTTATTGAACTGGTATCGGGGGAGGAGGAAATTATATCTCTCCATTCACTGATTTTTCCCTTGCACAGTCAGCATCTGGGTCATTTCATTCATCCAGTATGCTGGAACATCTCAACATGAAGGTGTCCAAGAACTCACCCCATCTGTATTCTAATGATTTGCCTCCTTCCATCCTACCCTTTTTGTTCTTCTGACATGTCTTCCTGAATGCCCTGGTGTCACTGTCCTCACCCAACATTGACACAATGAGCACACTGTTCTACTTTGGCTCTCTTAACATTGTGCATGCAAGGTGCATTCTTCTAAGCTTTTTTTGCTCAGGAAACAAGTGAAAAATTAAAGGACAAGCTCCCATAAAGAAGAAAACTTCAACTTGTCCTGACCTAGTGATGAAACCACTTGTCCTTATCTGACTTTTAATGTATGATTCTAGTATTCCTTAACACATCTTCAATATTTTTCCTAGAACAGTGTGTGTTTAGCATGCAGTCTTTAGAGAAAGCATTTTAGAATCTAAAAAGAAACTCAACTGTTGCAACAACTTTTAGCTCAATTGTGTTCTCTTCTTCCTGGTACAAATATGTTGTTGTTTGTTGTTGTTGTTGTTGTTGTTGTTGTTGTTGTGTGCTATCAAGTTGCCTCTGACTTACAGCCATCCTATCGATGAGCGATCTCCAAAATGTCCTGTCCTCAATAGCCCAGTGCATCTCGTATAAAATCAAGGCTCCGGTTCCTTT